CCAAAGGGAGAGACCCGGGGTGGGCCTGACTCAATCAGGTGAAAGCTTTCAACACACGTCTGCCCCGTTCCTGGCCGGAGATGCGTCAGCTGTGAAGAAGGCAGCAGCTCTACCGTGAAGGGCTGTGGTGGAGAAGGGCCGCCTCTGAGCACGGGCCTCAGGCCCACGACCTCAAGAAACTGGATTCCGCGAAGAGCGGGGCCAAGGCTGGAGCACGGTGAGCTCCAGATGAGAACCCAACCTTGAGGGTCTCCCAAGAACACAGCACGGAAACAGTGCGAGGATACATGTGTGCCGTGTTCTTTTAGGCCATGACATCTGTGGTAATTTGTTACAACATCACAGTTTGGGTTTTTATTTCATTCTGGTAAACTAAACCAACTATTCTCCACGGGGGCGTTGGTCAAGCTAGCACTCCTCCACCTGCACCTCGGCAGCTGGCTTTGCCTGGACCCTGTGACGAATACGTTCTCCAACTCTGTTCCACTTAACCGTGGTCTATGATTTAGGATCCTGATCTTGCCAACTTGTGTATTATAATCTCTCATTTCTTCTATTCGGAAAACCTGGCTACTCCCTGAATCTGGACAATCATTCCTAGCACATTGCCTGTTGACCCACGCACATAATACACAGACCCGTCTAGCAGAGTTCACCTCCCCAAAGACTCCCTCAATATATTTAAATGTTACTGATTTGGTTGCATGATATTAGTGCACATATTTTCAAAACACAATTTTGGTTAATGAGACGCAATTTTTTTCCCCCCGGGGAAGAACGGAATGGTCTTTCCTCAGTTTTTAATTATCACTAGGAAACCCACCAGAGGTCTCCACTTGGCCCAGAAGAAACGGAAAGCTCAGGGTATACTTGGTGCCTCACACTATCACTTGGGTTACGCTGCAGAGATAGGTTTTCCTGCCCCTGTAAGAATTACTGGTTGTCTTCCTCATGAAGCGTTCACCGGACGCAGTATCCCACAGAGGGCTCGAGACGGCGGACACAGGCATCTGCTCCAGTCCTGGACAGTGGTGAGGACTCCGTGGAGTGAGTCGTGAAGGACTCCGAAGGAAACCCTTCACTTTGGGCGTCCTACACTTCATCTGCCCGTGGCACTGCTGACACTCCGTGGTTGAGACCACCAAAATCAAAGCCCCCAAGGAGGATTGTATAAATGACTGTGCTGCGAGCTGAACTGTTCAGTGAGACATGTTCAAATCCTAATCTCCGGCTGGTACCTGTAACTGTGACCTTATTTGGCAACGGTACTTTGAAGATGTAATCAAGTTAAAATGAGGTCATCCCGGATTGCGGTTGGGGGTGGGGTGGGGTTTGCTAAGCCAACGACTGGTGTCCTTAGGAGAAGAAAGAAGACCGAACACACATACAGAGAAGAGAAGGCCATGCGAAGACACAGAACAGACACAATGGAGATACCGTGTGACGATGGGCGCACAGATTGGAGTGACTCATCCACAAGGCAAGAAATACCAAGGATTTCTGGCAACACCAGAAGCTTAGGAAGAGGCGAGGGAGGAGTCTCTCCTACAGGTTTCAGAGAGAGCATGGCTCTGCCAACACCTTGGTTTTGGGCTTCTGATCTCCAAAACCATGAGCGAATAAATTTGTTTCAAGCCACCCAGTTGGTTGCAATTTGCTATGGTTGGTTGTGTTTGCTATTAGTGCTAAGGTAGCTAATACACTATGATCACCCCGAGCCTCCACCCCCACCAGAGGTCCAAGGAAGGGTCTCAGACAGAGGCGACTTCCAGAGATGGAAGAGTGGCCTGTTGTATCCGTAGACCGAGGGACTGACAAGTCTAGAAGAGGGATGGAAATGCAAACTTTGGGGGCAGTCTGAGGGGCTCAGCGGTTTAGCAACACCTTGGCCCAGGGCGAGATCCTGGGGACCCGGGATGGAGTCCCGTGTCGGGCTCCCTGCATGGAGCCTGCTTCTCCCTCTGCCTGTGTCTCTGCCTCTCTCTCTCTCTGTGTCTCTCATGAATAAATAAATAAAATAAAAAAAAGAAAAGAAAAGAAAGAAAGTGCAAATCTTGGATAATCATTGTTCATGAATCAAACCCATGTTTGAGGTTCTGGAAAGCAACCATATGAGGATGCTGCACTGCTTGGCTCCCCCCTGCCCTCCCCTCCCTCCCCCCATGGTGGTTTTGTGTCTAAGGAATCTCTTTAGCCTTGGTGCCACCAGCTGAGTTTAAATAAACTGTTCCTGTGCAAGTCTCCAAAAAGCTACAAAGTCATAGGTAGGAGACAAAGGAAATGAAAGGAAAACAAAGATGCTTATGAAGGAAATGTGGGGAGGGGGTGAGGAGTGCAAATGGGAGGAGACGGGATCAGGGAATCACGTGAGACGACGCATCTTCTATAGACACATGAGGCTAAAGCCATCCCTCTACTTGACGAGGTGCTGAAAAGGCAGTAATTATCCCCCCAAAACTTTATATAAATAATTGCTGTAAGTGTCATGATTTTAAAACACATTTCTTACTTTGGTCACGTGAAAAATGTTTGAAAGCCACTGAACATTTCTATCATCTTGGAGCCTTTCCTGTACCCATGTTTTGTGAGTCTACAAGCAGCTTCAAAATCCCTTATAGGATAAACAAAGAAACCCTAACAGCACCTTCTGGAGAGAGGGCAACAGCTTGCGAATTAGGAACGAGCTCCGCTCGGCCTCCAGCAGGCACCCGGGAGCTACGCAGCCACGGTCACTCCTAGTCCAGGTTAGTGGATAAACTGGTAACTGCCAGTATCTAAGGGACGCGGCCCAGGCCCACATCAAAAGATGCTGTTCCCTGTGCTACCAAAAGTCCACAACTGCTAACTCCCCTGTTAATCATTTCCACGCCCGGCCTGCAAGGGGCCTGCCAAGGGACACTGCAGAGCGCTTTCTGATCAGACTGACTTGCCGCTGCTTTCCACGAGCAAACACTCGACCCGCGAGACTCTCTGACATAACGCGCCCATCAGGAACACTTTCCACGCATTTAAAATCCAGGCCTGGGGCAGCCCGGTGGGCTCAGTGGTTTAGCGCTGCCTTCGGCCCAGGGTCTGATCCTGGAGACCCGGGATCGAGTCTCACGTCGGGTTCCCTGCATGGAGCCTGCTTCTCCCTCTGCCTGTGTCTCTGCCTCTCTCTCTCATGAATAAATAAATAAAATCTTTAAAAATAAATAAATAAGTAAGTAAATAAATAAATAAATAAATAATAAAAAAAAATCCAGGCCTGAGCTTTCCTTCTTGGATGTGCACCTTCTGGGGGGCATGTGCCTCCCCCCGACCTCCTGATAATCAGGCAGCATCACGGGCTCGTGCCCGACTGTAGCTCAGCAGGCTGGAGGCCGCGCATCTGTCCCTACCGCAGCATCCACGCTGCAGTGACTGGTTTGTTTTTGTTTTTTTCTTAGAGATTTTATCTATTTATTCATGAGAGACACAGAGAGAGGCAGAGACAGAGGCCGAGGGAGAAGCAGGCTCCATGCAGGGAGCCCGATGCGGGACTCGATCCTGGGACCTCAGGGTCACGCTCTGAGCCAAAGGCAGACGCTCAACCGCCGAGCCCCCCAGGGGCCCCCCCAATACCGAACCTCAACGCACACAGGATTTAATGCCCATCTCACTCATTACCTAATTTTGGCCCTAAAAGGAAGAACAAAGGAAAGAACGGGGCTTGGGGGGTGGGGGATAAAGGAAAACGTGGACTCCTCTAACATTTTCAGTTTATTTTCTCACGTAATTTTCGGCACCTAAAAAGCCCCAGTCAAGCTCCTGCCGCCTGTGCGGGGCCCCGCTGGGCCCCGCCGGGTCCGCCCCCCCCCCCCCCCGCCCCGCTCCCTCTCCTCCCGCAGGTGTTCGGCCCAGCCCTCCCGCCAGCGTGGCCCGCACCCAGCGCAGCCCCGGGCGCCACCAGGCCTGTGAGCCTCGGCCCCCTGCTCAGGGCAGGGCAGGGGCCAGAACCCCTGGGCCGTGAACTTACTTGCTCTTCTCCTCTTCTGGAACCCGAACTGGACATCAGCTCCTGCCTGCTACCTGGGGGCGGGCAGACCCGGGGCAGGCAGGAGTCTGGGGCCAGGGCCACCCCCACGGGGGCCGCACAAAGCAGCGGCGCTCCCGAGCCCCCCTCTTCCCCTGCCTCGCCCCATTTCTCTGCGGAGGAGGCAACGATGGTGGAGCAGATTGTCTGGGACCCAGAAACCTAGACTGTTCCCTGGGCAGCCCGGGCCTGTGCCCTGAACGGAGCCCCCGCCGTGGACCCGTCGCAGCATCCAGGCTCTCCTCACTCTCATCCCCGCACATTGGTCCCCAAAGCGCATCAAAACACTTCCTAGGCGTGGAAAGACGAGATCGCGTGTAAAACCGTTCTCCTCGGGGTGCTGGGATCCGAAAAAGAAGGGGCAGGTTTATAAAAGCTCTTGGTCTACGTAGGGATCACCTGGAGTGGTACGTTCAGCATGTACTCTAAGGATTAAGGAAAATACGGTAAAAGAGCACTTTTTACGTGTCTGTGGTACCTCTGGAGACGGTGGGGTACCTACGGGCAAGGCTGCAAAGAGAAACCCTTCTGCAGCACCGTGGGCATGAGGGAAGGTACGGGGGGTGCGGAGGGCAGGGTCCCCACGTCCTCGGCCCCCACCGCCGTCACCCTGTCCCCTTACCTGCCCCTCTGCACAGGCCCACAAGCAACAGAAGGCTCGGGACCTGGGGCATATCACAAAGGGGGAAGGGGTGAACACCCCAAAGCTTCTAGGAAGCCCTGAAGGACACATGCAGCCTGACTCTAGGCAATTCCTCTGCTCAGAGCGGGAAGCCAGGCCCCACTGTGTACTTTACCCCAAGAGAGCCAGCTAAGTGCCTCCCTCCTCCACCCCCTCCACACCCACAATGCCATTGGCTCACTAGGATAGCGTTTAGCTGGTGAAACATTACAATTGTGTGAAGCTTTGCTAGCCAAACAAAACAAAGCCCAATGGCGTCAGAGCCTACTCTCCAGTCCCAGCCCAGGGGACAATGTCCAGCTGTCTGTTGGTACCTCAGTTTAAAAGAAAAGTCAAGGCTACATCCAGAAAAGTACCTCTCCCAGGCCTCTTTTTTATGAGCATTTAACCAACTCCAGCACCAGAGAGTCTGTATGGGCCTCCCGGAACGTTCATGGAGGGACCTGATACTCCTGCTCTTGCCTGCTTTCCAGCTCTCTGGTAGGCCTTTGTCTTTTAGTCTGAACACTGGGTTAGTTCCACTCAGAAGTCCATGTTCTTGTCATCTCATTACATTAGAGTCATGCATAATCAATCTAGACGTTAGAGCAGGGATTGTATGGTAGGGCGTGTGAGACGGCCTACAACACACACACACTGTTCACTGCTGCAGAGGAAAACGCAGAGGAGGGGTTTTCACTGTCTATATAAATGGCAAGAGCAGGATCGGAAAATTCAGCAATAGAACTGTACGACCTATTTTGTGCAAAATATTTATTTCCAATTGTAAGTACCCAGGAAGACAATTTCACAGACTTAATACGAGCTTTTACCTTGAAATTTTATCCTACAATGATCAAAGAATTTCCATGGGCCTGAGGTCCCATGCTAGGCACACTGGCGTGTCTTTTAAAAAACACTATGTCTGGTGCAGAATAGTAAAGTGCTCATTTTTACCTACATTTATAAAGGGTGAAGATCTGATCTAAATAACCTTTCTGGAATTTTTGTCTAAATAATCATCTGTAGTTGAGCTCATCAAGACATGGAATGGTTCATCAACTCCTCACTACATAGGTGTTTGTTCAATTGTACTGACATATTGGTAGTCCCATGGATTTCTGTACAGTTTTTGTTCTTTTATGTCCCATAAGTGGTAGTGGACTCACTTTTCAAACACTAAGGCAGAGAAGGTTCAAATACTTGGTGGCTAGCTAACTTCCCTCATTCTCTCCCTGTTGACAGCCTACAGGACACCAATGATAGGGTGGCAGGCACTACAAAGGTGCAAATAAATAAAGGGGTGTTCAGAGCTCTATGAACACGATATTCCAGTAAAGGAGGGACCGCATATACACCAAGAACTCCCTCAGGGGCGAATGTGCTGTGTATCCTACAAATGAAATTCAAAGGAAAAGAAATTTTCTTTGCAGGGAAGACTGCTGGAAGAAGCAGGGATCAAGTATTAAGTAGGTCACATTCAGATGAGCTGTGTTTCTTACCAACGAAATAGATGAAGGTAGCGGTGTGTACGTGTGTGTCTACTTGGTTGTTTCTGGCTGGTGTATACGTGTGGAGGGGTCCGTGTGAAAATAGGAATTCTAGATGACAGAAATGAAAACGAGACTTATGGGGCACCTGGGTGGCTCAGTCAGTTGAGCATCTGACTCTGGATTTCTGCTCAGGTCATGATCTCCAGGTCCTGGGACTGAGCTCCACGTTGGGCTCCCTGCTCAGCGCGGAGTCTGCTTGAGGGTTTCTCTCCCTCTGCCCATCCCCTCCCGACTAACACGCCCATGTACATCCTCTCTCTCTCTTTTTTTTTAAAGATTTTATTTATTTATTCATGATAGTCACACAGAGAGAGAGAGGCAGAGACACAGGCAGAGGGAGAAGCAGGCTCCATGCAGGGAGCCCCACGTGGGACTCGACCCCGGGTCTCCAGGATCGCGCCCCAGGCCAAAGGCAGGCGCCAAACCGCTGCGCCACCCAGGGATCCCCATCCTCTCTCTTTTTAAAATAAATAAGATTTAGTGTTGACACTGTGTTCCTGAGCACAGTCCACACGATATCCTGAAAATTGTAATCATAAAAATGAAAACGCACAGTGGTTATCGGGACTCTCTCTAACCAACGTAACCAGCTTTTCCTGGGATCCCAGAGTCTTGGTGACAAAACTGTCTTGGAGTGCCCCTTATGGGAATGAGAATCGTATTTCAATTCAGCATTTCAGTTAGGTATGCCACGTGAAAAACTAATACACCTCCCGTAGAGTTTGGATTTTAATACATTTCAAGCTGATAAAAAAAATGCTGATAGAATGTCATAATAAACAGCAACGGTACCTTAAATGAGATGTTTTAATATCAAGTGCCCCATTTATAACTAATTACTAATGGATAACTGCTAGGCTGGGAAAGTGGACAAGGACAATTAATCGAGGTAAACAGGCCTGGACATTTCCAGTTTAATGGAAATTATCATGTAATGTGCTTGTTTGTCCTTTTATAGGACTGTTATGCAGAGTTATATTATTGCACCCCCATCAACTGAAAGCCAGCCCATCTAATTTAATGGTCTTTTCAGCTGAGCAAATTCTGATTTGGAGAGTTGATTTGCATGGATTTTTGTGCAATCCTATTTACAAACCAACTGAAAAAAAAAATCAGGCAATCCAATTCCAGAGTACATCGTGTAGCCTGGAGCTTGCCAGGGAAGGCAGCTGTGGTGAACTCGTGATGGCCCCAAAGCATCGTCCTCACCGCTGTGGCTGGCTCAGCCTCCTGAAGTGTCCGTGTTGGAGAAACCTGAGCTTCAGGTAACCTGTTGTTACCAGGTGCAAGACGACGTGTTCCCAGGACTCAGGAGGGACATAGTTATGCATCAGCTGTGATGTGAGTGTGACCAAATTGGGGGAAAATCAGACTGACAAATTTGTTCTAAAATACACTGGGTTTCTTTTTTGTTTGTGTCATTGTTGTGCTATGTCCTCTCCCCAGTGAGCATACTCTGAAATTCAAGATAATGTTTCTATTACAAAAGCCCTAAGACAAGAGCTTCTGTCGTGTTTATAACTCAGTTGATAAGATGACCTCCGGAAGAAGGGCTAAGACCCAAATGTACATGGCTCCAGGTGCTGAAGAAGCTGAGGCAATACAAAGACTAAGGAAGCCCAAATGGTCATAGGTGATGCCTCTGGTTGGTGGAATTTACTTAAAACATTTGTTCCTTATAGCTTTGCCTTTGTGTCAATTTGCTCCTCCCTTTAGAGGAACGAAGACTGGAACCCCTTGACCCTGCTCTAGCAGCCAGTTGAGGGTTTCGGCTGCCTACATACCCCCGACCTTCTATTTATTTACGAGTATTCTGTAAAAGTTTTAAGACAGTGACAAAATGATTTTACTAGTGTTGTGCGAGATCTTCCTGAGTTGTTTTTCTATACTGATTTTCCATTCATGTGACTCTTTCAACAAGAACCTTCACTAAAGATGCGTAAAACGGTTTTCTAAAATACCTTACAATCGTTAAGGTTCACATTCTGGATGAAAATGTTTTGCTGCAATACCCTTCCATGGAGACAAGTCTTTATTAAGTAATTAGAATGATAAGTTAGCCATTATTCTTCATCTACCTTAAGAAAAAAATACTGATTTTGCCGGTTAATCTGCTAATTGTAATTTCTTTTGACTTCAATGAATGGGTCCATTTGTAGTAGTGGTTTATAAAATAAAAAAAAATGCATCCCTAAATATTATATATCCTTTAGTAACACTAGGTAAAAGCATCAGGTGTTTGGGGAACAGACAACAAGATGTTTAAAATAATTAGAGTTTTGGGCAGCCCCCGTGGCTCAGCGGTTTAGTGCTGCTTTCAGCCCAGGGCGTGATCCTGGAGACCCGGGATCGAGTCCCACGTCGGGCTCCCTGCATGGAGCCTGCTTCTGTCTCTGCCTCTTTCTCCCTCTATGTCTCTCATAAATAAATAAAATCTTAAAAAAAATAAGAGTTTTGAGGGTTTTTTTTTTAAGATTTATTCATTTTTAGAGAGAGAAAGAGAGAGCATGCCTGCAAGTGGCGGAGGGGCAGAGGAAAGAATCTCAAGCAGACTTTGTGCCGATCGTGGAGCCCCGCACGGGCCGACCTCGTGACAGATGAGATCACGACCTGAGATGAAACCAAGAGTCCGACGCTTAACCGACTAAGCCACCCAGGTGTCCCTAAAAGAATTAGGTTTTTATTTATTTATTTTTTAATCCAGTAACCTCAAACACCGCTCCGAAAAAAACTTTTAGTGGCCTTTCACTAAAAGGGAAATAACATGACGTCACTACTCACACTTTCTGTTTCTAGTTCGTATACACAAACCCAACAAGGGAACCAACTGTAAGCCAGTGCTCGGTTTTGATGACATCTTCATATTTTCAGTTCTAACCTGGAGACAGCTAGAATGCAAACAGAGCCAGAGTAAAGGGGTCATGAGGGAATCGATCAGCTGTGGGGGGTGGGGGGTGAGTCAAAAATGGGATGTCCCGGTGAACAAATGGTTCTCCACAAGTTCTTCATGGATCTAGACGAGGACTCTTTGTTAACCCAGAGATTCCGACACATTTTCAGCATGAGTCAGAGCAAGCAAGAAGGGTGGGGCCCCAGTCTCTTTGTTTTCTCTTGGGGTTAATAGTGATTTCCTTAGACTGAGCCACAGCTCTGAGGGAATAACATAACGCGGCGGACTACCAGGGAACCATAAATAGTGAAGGAGAGGGCCTCTGAGGATCCCCCGGCCACCGCCTAACACGCTACCAGAACAAGCCCTACACATGCCCCATGCCCATTTTCACTCAGTCGAAGGAATTATTATTTCCATTCTAAAGGGAAAAACACATAAACAGTATTTTAATTATAATTTGCCTACAACTTACTCCTCGTGGGGGCCATACACCCCTATCAGTACGCAAAGCCCTAAAAGAAAATGTTATGATTGTTATCGCTGCTTGACGAAGGACAGAGTAAATAGCACGTTTGCTTTTTTTTTTTTTTTTAATTTTTAATACAAAGCTGATAACATCTTAAGAGGTAGGGAAAAACCAAACCTGACATAGGTGTGGGTGTCTCTCTATAATTAACAGTGCGGCAAAAGAACAGGAATGGGATTTAGATGACTCTAGAAAGTAATTCGTGCTCCTTGGTTTCCTCAGGGGAAAATGGGACAGAGTACGTAGATAGAAATTCTCTTAGCAGCAGCCGAGAGCCAATAATGTTCTATGAATTCAAACCTGAGTTCACACTTGAACTTTATAAAGTATTACACATTTCACTTCCCTAAGGGCCACACACAGACTGAGCTGCATTCAAAGTCAGAGTCAGGGAGTTTGGGGTAACATCCATATATCACGAGTGTCTACACTCCCTGGGCATGGCATCAGTCCCAGTGACTGCAGAAGTATTACGGCACGTGCCTTGTCCACGTACCATGCTAGAGTCTTTCAGGGAGTGATTTTACTCTTGCAGAAAACCCTACTAGGAGGGCCCTATATTCACACCTACTTCACCGAGGAGGAAACAGGCTGAGCAACAGTGGCCACCGTGGGTGACGGCACTCAGCCATCACATTATGCTGTTCCCAATAACTGATCACCCCTCCTTGGATCCTGGACATAATTGAATTGAGTATTTGGGAAAAAAAAATCACGATTTAATGGTTGAATAACAGAGGAAAGACAGGGGTTAGATGTTTGCATCATCACGAGGGAGGTAAAACGATGATAAAACTGGCCAAGCAGTTAGCTGAAAGCCCGGCCTGCCAGGGTGATCAGATATAGCAAAGCCTGAATATTTCTTATCTAAACAAAAAGAGGGGGCAGCTTGGGTGGCTCAGTGGTTTAGCGCTGCCTTCAGCCCAGGGCGTGATCCTGGAGACCCGGGATTGAGTCCTGCATCGGGCTCCCTACGTGGAGCCTGCTTCTCCCTCTGCCTGTGTCTCTGCCTCTCTCTCTCTCTCTCTCTCTCTCTGTGTGTGTGTGTCTCATGAATAAATAAATAAAATCTTAAAAAAAAACAGTAAAGAGACATTAATAATATGAGAGATTTTAGTCTGTTAGGGAACCTTCCAGTTGGTGAAATGAACTGAACTGTAGCTATGTGCCTAAAATAGAGTAGTGGAAGTCCTTCATGTAGGACATTTTAGAAACCGGCACATACACAAGAAAACCGGTTTACATAGAGATGTCAGAGGACTCCTGGTGTCTCTTCACGTGTCCTGTCATCTTCCACGAAAGGAGACAAAACACCAGGATTTTAAAAGCATTTGTCAGGATTTATGTAAACACAACTAAGCAGTTGACCCCGGTCCAATTCGTGAAACAATGAATGACATGAAACTGTCCTTGTGTACAGCTGGTGTCTTTGCAAGGAGAAGTCACTTCCCTAAAAGGGGAAGCCACTAGCAGGATCATTAGTGACGGCGGCCAACACACCCCGTTCTAGGCACCGCTCTACATCTCACCCACTAGCAAACTCACCACACCACAGCCCTCTGAGGGACGTGCTGTTATTAGGTCCGTGGTCCCACAAGAAAATGCGGGCACAGGTGACTTAAAGAACTTACTAAAGGGGCACCTGGGTGGCTCAGTCAGTTAAGTGTCTGCCTTTGGCTCAAGTCATGATCCCAGGGTCCTGGGATCGAGCCCCACATCAGGCTCTCCACTCAGGGGGAAGCCTGCTTCTCCCTCTACCTGCTTGTGCTCTATCAAATAAATAATAAAATCTTGAAAAAAGAAAAGAAAAGAAAAAGTACATACAAAAATTCAACAGCTGCTAAGTGGGAGAGCTGGGATTGGTACCTTGTTCATCTGACTCCGAGGTATGTGCTTTTCCACTGTGATAAAAGCCCCACAAATAAAGCATTAAAATCAGTCCACTTTCAGTAAGCTGTGTGTGTCAAAATCTGAGCAAAGTGCCTTGAAGAAGAGAGTCTCAACTTAGAGTAGTGTCACGTAATTTAATTCAAAATTAAATTTGCAGGGAATCCCTGAGTGGCTCAGCGGTTGAGCGCCTGCCTTTGGCCCAGGGCGTGATCCTGGAGTCCTGGGATCGAGTCCTGAATCGAGCTCCCTGCATGGAGCCTGCTTCTCCCTCTGCCTCTCTCTCTCTCTCTCTCTCTCTCTCTCTCTCTCTCTCTCCATCTTTCAAGAATAAATAAAAAATCTTTTTTTAAATAAAAAAATCTTTTTAAAAAATCAAATTTGCACTTGAAACGTATAAAATATGCACGTTTCACTTTCCTGCAGGTCACATACAAAATGAGCACTGCATTCCAAGTCCTGGTCAGGGACTTTTGGGGAGTGTGCACGTATTTCTGCAGGATACCCCCCGGGAACTGCACTGATGTGTTTCAGGGTTCCCTTCACGGTTTCCTCTGTGGTACTTTATGATCCAATCCAAGAGAAAAATGTCCTGCAATATCACCTCTATTCTGTTTATGTTGCTAAGTTACTGAAATAGTTCGCCTTGACTTGCCCCGGAAAGCCGTGTTGTCTTTAAAGAGATAAAGCTACATTCTGGAACGTCTTGGTATACGCGATCTAAACGTGCTGAGCGTATTTCTGTAGAGTCAATTTTGTTTTATTCTTTCTCCTTCATATATAATTTGTAGAGAATCACATGATTCTGCACCGATGAGAAATAAAAGGTTCTAAACGGACTAGCATGAAAACTGAAATAGATCTACTGAGAGGCCTCGTGAGCTAGCCGGTGCTTCCGGATGCACACTCACCCACACACACGCACACACGCACACACGCACACCGGGAAGACAACCTTCGTCGAAGGGAAGAACATTCACACTTGCGAAGAGATGACCATATTGAAGGAAGCAGATCAAGAACCACGACCTGGCC